ATTTATTAAATTGGAAAATAATATTATAATATATTATATAATATTATATTATGATATAGTTATTAATAATAATATTATAATAAATGCAAAATAAATACTATAATATTTTATTTATAATATATTCTGTTATTATAAATATATAATATATTAATAATATGTTTAATACTAATGTTATAATGGGTCAAACTAGTGTTAACCAAAAACACTCAACATGTTGTTTTGAAAACACTTTAGGGAGAGAATAAAAACCATGATGTCTTCTTACAAAAACACAATAAAAAAAACATTATGATATCCAAACGAAACCTAAAATATCTGATTCCAATTTAAGTTGCTTGTCCAATGCAACTGAAGAATAAGATTGTAGTTATAAGTTTAAAAAGGCTCTGGCTGCAGTTGGTGACTATTGTAGATTTGAACGTACTCTCCGTGACAATATTTTGAAGTACAAATAAGATTAAAACTACAACTGCCAGTCAATACAATTTCAAAAGAATGTAAAAAAAAAAAAATTTACATCTACGACCACCACGGCAAATAATTAAATTTGGAAACTATATCAAATAATTGCAATATAATTATAATAGCGTATCACACCACTCGTATCAACTGCATGTTTATACAATTGTCACTTGCATCGCAGTTTATGGTTGCAAAGGATTAAACAACCTTAAATTGATAATGAAATCATCCTCTTTCTCATTGGGTTTTTAGGGGTAACGAGATTATAGTTCTCTACCACCCGAGGGTGGGACTCCTGGCTAGCGCCCACATGAGGGAAGGAGATCTTCTCAGTGGTCAGGGGTTCGATTCACGTTACCGAATTCATCTGGTCTCACTGGGTTTAAGGGTGGGGACGGAGACCCGGGGGTTTTATTGGTCACTTTGCTCAGCCTGTTGTATGCTCACCAGTTCGCGCCCGCCCCCCACGTTGTTCGCCCACTCAGCTGGGGATAAGCCCCTAGTATTAATGGTAGCTCCTTACAGAGATGAGATGGATGTGGGATTGGAACTAGGGTCGCTGGCGGACTCCAAAAGGAGTTAAAGTTGAGCGGACTAACCAGATTTCCAAAAAAAAAAAGATTATAGTACTCTTTTAGTTGCATCAATTGTATATGTAAGTTGAACCTTATTATGTCAGAATTACGAAGAAATTAATCTGGCAGCTGATATGTTAGGAGGAGGTCCCACTTCTCATTGACCCTCTACACGCTTCATTGATTCGACAATACAGTATTTGCTAATTATTATGCTATTAGCGACAGTGTAACTCACTTTATAATAACCAACCTTAATATTAATATAGAGATTAAAGCACACTTAAAACCTAATCTCTGTAGACTTCCCCTTAATTTAATACATACGCTAAATAAACGGAGGCTAGCTTTTGTGGGCAAATGATGTTGCTGTTGCTGTTGGAATTTATGCACTTTTATGGACAAATGCTTGGAAACGTATACGTGGTTATATCTGTTTGATATGATACCAATTTCTGAGATGAGATCACTGTTGGAGCACGTGAAGACAACCACGAATTCATCAGGAGCTCGTGAATGGCTAAGAGTTAGAGCATCTCCAACAGCTTCCCCAAAAATTTCTCCAAAATGGGGAATCAAATGTCATATTCTCCAAATTATTTTTGCTCCAACTCCAACAGCTTCCCCATTTTGAAGAATCATGCATTTATTACAATAATAAAAATATTCTACATCTTTGACTAATAAATAATAAATTATTTATTATTTTGAAGAATTCCCATTTTGACCAAATTATTTATTATTATAATGAGGAGATGGAGTTGTTTTTTGTGAGTTGAGTCTAGAAGAACGTGAAAAAGTGCTTCCCCAAATATTTGCAGAATGCTGCAGATTTGGGGAAGGCTCTCTATTTTTTCTCTCCTATCACCATTTTAGGGAATGAGATGGGGAATCAGTTGGACAAAAAAAAGCTCAAAATTCTCCAAATTTTAGAATACCAAGAAGATGGGGAAGCTGTTGGTGATGCTCTTAGAGTCGAGTGGGTTTAGAGAAGTACCCGCGTGGGAACACACTTTTGAGTTCAGCTGCTATTGGAATTCCACGTGAAGAGATGTTTATGCTGCATGAAGGGATTGGCTAGTTCACGGACGTGGGGGCCACGGACGTGCGTGAGGAGCAAAAGAGAAAAAGAAACCGCGTGAAGTTATAAGCCTCGTGAAGCGGAGCCCACGACCCGAAAGCCATCCTATAAATATCTCGATGATTTCTCCCTAGGTTTTTTGGTGCAAGTGCAGAGGCAGAGGGGAGAAAGAGAAAAAGGCGGCTGTGGATTTTTTGGGCTTCGTGCAGAGGAGAAAAATTCTATTTGGTGGCTGTTTTTGTGAGAGATTAGAGAGTTAGTTTGAGGGTTTATTTTGTGAGATTGTAAATCTATTGTATTTTTTCTCTAATAGTAGATCCCCCTTCCTTACCCCGTGGATGTAGGCAGTTTGCCGAACCACGTAAAAATTGGTTGTTTGAGTTTGTGGTCATTGTAATAGTTTTTAGGATCCCTCGACGCGCAGTCCTAGAGCTGACGAGAGGAAGAGCAAATATCCCACTTTGATGGGATATTAGGCTTCAGATTCTTATTCCCTTTGAGAAACAAGAATTCTTATCGATCTTTCTCTCTTATTGTGCATCAGAAACTCTACCGAAATTTCCGCTGCGCACAACAATCACTTGATATGCATCGAGTAAAATTCGTATCTTATTACCTATCACATATTATTTTGAGAAACTTTTCTTTTTACTCATTTTATAAATACATCACGTTTTCCACTTATTAATACCTATTATCTTAGCTCACATGTAATACCCAAGCCTATGTAAGCATACAGTAATTTTTTCCCTTGGGACTTGTTGAGGCCCATTTGCTCTTTTTTTTTAGTTTGTTTTTTAAGGTCCAAATATGCCTATAGCCTTTATGGATCCTACGGGCAGTTAACACCTAACAGGAAAGGAGAGAAAAAAACATGTGAGATTTGTTTTGTAACCACCTAACTACGTTTCTCCATGAAACAAAAAATAACCAAAAAATCTCTAACCTTAAGGAATTTCCTAACTAACGCTATGCCTTTATAACAAATATTTTTTCCTTCCTTTGTCATCTCATCTATTCTCACGAGGAAAAAAAGAGCAAAAAAAAAAAAAAAAGTTGCTACGGATTTTCACATTTGGAAGAAGGAATAGATAGGGATTCAATTTCAGAAATCACAAAATTTTATCAGCAATCATTTTTATCATTCAAGTCTTCTTTTTTTCATGACCATCTTATCCATTTACTAGTAATTTTTTTCTTAGTGATTATGCCGAAATAGTTGCTAGATAGCTGTTATTATTATTGTTGTTATTTTTGTTCTCACAATCTTCTGGATAAATCTTTTTTTCTATGAAATATCAAAGTGCTAGGATGGATTTTTTTATAGTCGATTTCTTTGCTACAATGTAATTCATGGTAGGAACAAACAAATGTTCTCATCAGTCCACTATAATTAATTTTGTGATTAGATTTGGACAAGAAGGAAACTAGCATGTTATTGGATATCTTACTGAATAAGAAATCAATTGGAAAATCATATGTTTGTGTGAATGTGTGTGTGTATAGACATATGTATACATGTATATATAAATATATGTATGTATGTATGTAGACATATATATATTGTTATGGTAATCTACCATTTATAAACAAAAATGATTAGAAGATTGTCTCCATGAGCCTAATGGAGTCACAATTCAAATCGACTCAGCTGAAAAGCCTAGCCAAAAGGCAAACGCTGTAGCTGACAATAAGCGTGGAAGCAGTCGGCCCTTCGCCTTTAAGGTGACTACTCGGGAGTCCACCCAACTCCCAATAGAGACGACTCCACCCAGTGGTGACTCGGCTGTCTACCGAGCTGTCTGACTGGGCTGACGACTCACTTATCTCGTCAACAAGTTACGAAAACGACCCGCCTTCCAATACAATCCTGCTGGGGAAGAAGATAAAGATCCGAGTCATCCAACTGAGCTATTTCTAAGATATACATCAATCAACCACAGTATTGACCAGTCACATCAAAAGTCTCAAACTCTGACGAAGTCTTAAATGCAAAGACGGCTCATTCTATTCCCAAGTCACTTCTGTGACGTAATCAAGACACACTCTGAGCTCAGACGACCATACGCCTATTTTCCCTTTATCCTTATCCGTCAAACCTGGGACATTATCGAGGCGCCTTCTGTACTCGAGTGCCTCGCCCTCCAATCACTAACCGCCATCTGTAAAGATAAGGGCGACTCAACACCTCACCGTATTCTCGGCCATACGCCATCTAATCAATCCTGGGGCCTTATCGAGATCATCTCGAAATAGTATCTCTTCCAGTCGCCAGTCAACACGTGAAAGGACTACTGCTGACTCAGCCTCCATCTCATCCCCCCACCATCGTCCTCAGACCCCTGATGAAGCCACGTGTCTATCCTCAACAGCCTATAAAGAGGGAGGCAATGGATCCGAAGAAAGGGGGGAGGAGGAAAAAAGAAGGGGGCTCTTTTTTGGGGACTCAGGTTTTTTGAACTCAAACAACTAAGAAGTTATTTTTTTCTTCAAGTTGCTTGAAAATAAATTCTAAAATGAGAATGTACCCTGCATGGACCTCAATGGTCCAGAGACTCTCCCCAAAACCTCCCTCAAACTCATCCTCTAACTTGACTGTCGGAGGTACCACGGGGGAAACACGCCCTGTACCCCGACGTTCCTTGTGTGTGTAGGCCATCAATCCACCCCGTGCGCTCAGAGCTAGGCATAATGTCGGAGGGGGAGTCGGCCCCTTTATCCTTTATCATCCTCCCTCGGTAGACAACCTCCCCCTATTGGCTGTGTGATTCCAGACATCAACAATGGTGTTCCCATAATTTTTGAGACATTCAAGTGTTAACTGCAAATTTTAAATTCTTCATAGACGGTTGTTAATTTTTGATTAATGTTTGTTGTTTTAAGTTTTGAAACATTAGGATGTTTTTTATAATTTTAAACTTGTTAGGGTATTTTGTGCAATTTTAAAATTTTTAGGTTTTTTTGCAATATTTCATGTATTATATAGTATATTAGCTACGTATAATTTATTTATCTTAACAAACTAATATTGTAAAGTTGTTTTATATATTTTATTAATATTATTTTTTAAAATTGTTGAGCTATAGCTAATTCACGTAGAATTAGGATATTATATAATTATAATTAGGACAGATTAAAATATTAATAAATTTAAAATAGTGAAGAGTAATATTGATCATGAAAATATTTTTCCGTACTCGTGATTTTAAAGGGAGTATGTTATGATGTGTGTACATCAGTACATATGTGTTTGTGTGTGTAGAGCAATATAGAGGAATCCGGTACAAAGCACATGTTTTTGTGCTTTGTCAATGACCATGTCATCTTCCAAATTTCTTCATGTTTGTCGAAAATAACTACTATTGACTGTATAGATATGTTTGATTGGGCTGTTACAAAGTAAAATTTAGAAAATTTTAAACTTGCAGCTTTCTTATATATGCTTCCCCCATTTTTAGTTGAACTGTTCTCGATCTGCTACTTCTTTCCTTGTATTGTTCATTCAGACCCAAACCCAAGCCCAAACAATCTTGTCATGCGTTTTAACCCCATCAAGATTCAAACTTTCCATGACACAACCGAACCTCACCAAACTTCCAACCACAGACACCCTTTCCCCTTTTTAAAAAACCCCCTCTTCCCTCCAATTTCCTGGTCCTACTGCAATCCAAAACCAAACATGGGCGACTTAACCGTCCAAGAATCCGGCCAGCACATTTTCCGGAGCAAGTACTCGACACCGATACGCGTGCACGAGAACACCACCCTTCCCGAGTTCGTCCTCCGAGACGCCCTCGAGTACTCTGACAAGGTGGCGCTCGTCGAAGCGTCGACTGGCAAGGCCTACACTTACGGCGAAGTTGTGAGAGACACCGCGAGGTTCGCAAGGGCGTTGGGGTCGTTAGGCCTCAGGAAGGGCCACGTGGTGGCCGTGGCGCTCCCTAATCTTGCCGTGTACCCCGTGGTCGCCCTCGGGATTATGGCCGCCGGAGGGGTGTTCTCTGGCGTGAACCCTTCGGCGTTGGCGTCGGAGATACGGAAGCAGGTTGAGGATTCGGAAGCGAAGATCGTCGTGGCCGATGAGGCAACTTACGATAAGGTGAGCCCCTGTAACTCCTCCTGTTCTGTATAGTTTGTCACGTACGGGCGTCCGAACTCCGAACATGCGAAATTTCCCCGGCCCCAACTTATTTCATCTTACCACAGGTGAAGGACTTCGGCGTGCCAGTCATCGTCATTGGAGAAACCCTGACCCCAGACGCCGTCAACTGGAAGGAGCTCCTCGAAGCTGCAGACCGAGCAGGCCACTCCAACGCAGTCGAAAACAACCTGACACAAGACGATCTTTGCGCGCTCCCATACTCCTCAGGCACAACCGGCACATCCAAAGGAGTAATGCTAACTCACCGCAACATCATCTCCAATTTATGCTCCTCCCTCTTCAGTTTTGGTGCCGACATGATAGGCCAAGTCACGACTTTAGGCCTTATGCCCTTCTTCCATATTTACGGCATCACGGGCATCTGCTGCGCTGCGCTGAAGACCAAGGGGAAGGTTGTGGTCATGGGGAGATTCGATCTCAGGGCTTATCTTGAGATATTGATCGAGCATGAGGTTACCTTCGCGCCTATTGTGCCCGCGATCATCCTGGCGATGGTGAAGAGCCCCCTTGTCGACGAGTTTGATCTTCGGAGGCTTAAGCTTCAGTCAGTTTTGACGGCTGCTGCGCCTCTTGCGCCGGAGCTGAGAGCTGCGTTCGAGGAGAAATATCCTGGTGTTGTTGTTCAAGAGGTAATTACTGAGGGATGGATTATTTACATTTGAAAAGAAATTAAAAAAAAAAAGCCAGGTCATTTGCGACTCCAAGTATATATACAAACAATGACCCCAGGAAATAGGACCTTCTAGTCTTTGCATTTACAAGCGGAGGAATGAAGTGATATCTACTTGTTTTTACCATAAAATTCTTCATGCAAGTATTATCAAATATCATCACTTTATTAATTTGACAGAGAACATATTAACAATAATAGTAACTTGAAGGGCTTTCATTTAGAGGTGATAGGATTACTTTAAACCAAAGTTGAAAAGGTTTTCATGCAACCTTAACCTACATTTTGGAAGAGGATCTGATTTGCAATGGCACGAGCTAGGTTCTGCATCCTTAACACGTTGTTTTGGCTTTGCCATGATCTTGAAATAGATCATTAGCATGCAAAGTTTCAATTTTTTTTTTTTGGATGTTATTCACATGATATTTTCCATTACTGGATTGTGCGCGTGCGCGCGTGTTTAATGAATTCTTGGATGGGTATATACAAAATTAAGAGATCATAATCAATTGCGATTCCTTGGATAAATTTCGACACGGGAATTGGAATTTGTTTAGTCTGGCATTTTTCGGTTTTATGTATTTCTAACTCAATCGCCATGGCTTTTCTGTAAATCTTCAGGCTTACGGGCTCACGGAGCACAGTTGCATAACCCTGACGCACGGAGATCCGAGGAAAGGGCACGGCGTTGCTAAAAAGAACTCAGTTGGCTTCATCCTCCCAAACCTCGAGGTCAAATTCGTCGATCCTGAAACGGGGAAACCGCTTCCCAAGAACACACCGGGTGAGATCTGCGTCAGAAGCAAATGCGTCATGCAAGGTATACCATATTCTCGCCCTCGTTAACGCCTAAGATAAAATTGGCTCAAATGATCAGATAACTTCGCCAGCGAAAATAAAAATGCGTGCCGATTACGTTACATATCTGCCCATTGGAATACTAAGTAATGTTCACAAAGTTCAGGGCGTAATCTCAGAATTGGTTAAACTTTAGGAGGGTCGGTCACAAGAAGTTTACCCTGAGAAATTTATTTTGTGGTCTTGTATGTATGTATATAGGTTACTACAAAAACAAGGAAGAAACCGAGCGCACGGTGGACGGAGAAGGATGGCTTCATACCGGTGACATTGGCTACATCGACGATGATGGGGATGTTTTCATCGTCGACCGCATCAAGGAATTAATCAAGTACAAAGGTTTCCAGGTATGTAATGTTTCCATATGTGAACCCGGGCATTATTTTGAACGAGATGATAATTATTCAATAGTAAGATATTTTAATGCATAGATTGAGATGAAAGAGATGGGTGCACGATGTGAACATCAATCATCGACATTTTTCGGTTCATACGCACAACTTTGTCGCGCTTTAGAAGACACACTTGCATATACAAATCAGAAGCCGTTTTGGTGCATAGACATTTTCTTGTGCTTTGTTAGAGTACAAATTTTTTTTTTTTTTCATTCGGCGCGCAGACATTAATAGCCTTTGTTGTGCTTTGCGCTTATCAATGGACTTTGTTTATTTTACTCTTACACAAGAGGTGGCAACTTCCTTTCCACTTTAATTTCCTTATTTTACGGCCTCGCTGCCTGGTAATATCAATTTAGGAAAAATTTGTAAAATAGACCTATTTTTCTAAATATTTAGCAAAACAGACCGTTTTTGCTAAATATTTAGCAAAATAGACATCTTTTTGGCCAACAGGCTAAAAAGAGGTGGATTTTACTAAACAGACCATTCGAAACATACGAGAACATATGAGATTAGTAGTCCCGTATGATTTAATCCCCCCATTAAATCATACGGGACTACTAGTCCGTATGTTTAATATCCTAAAGACCCTAGTTAATTAGTTAATACACTAGTATTTTAGTTGTTAATATTTAACCTTTTACAAGAAATTCTTTTGTCGCAGGTGGCTCCGGCAGAACTAGAAGCCATTCTTCTCACTCATCCCTCAGTAGATGACGTTGCCGTCTTTGGGTAATTAAACGGCCTTCTCGATCTGCTGTTCTCGTGCATCTTTAATTTCCTGTTTAATTTGCGTCTTCCAATTTATTTTTTGTGTTGATATGATACTAATCACTGGTCGACCCGGCCCCAGATTGCCCGATGAGGACGCCGGTGAGCTGCCAGCAGCCTGCATCGTGATGAGCAAAAGCGCCGCCGAGACCGAGGAGGACATCAAGAGCTACGTCGCCTCCAACGTCGCGTCCTACAAGAGGATCAGAGTGGTGAAGTTTGTGGAGTCGATACCAAAATCAGCGTCTGGAAAAATCATGCGGAGGTTTCTCAGGGAAAGCGTCGCCAATAACCGACGATAAGATGCCACAACAGCGTAGTTGTTTTCGTGACCGCGTTAGCGGCGACAGGGAGATAGACGCGTGTGGTCGATGTGATATGCTTTTATCATTGTCAATCAATAAAAAAAAAGATATTATGCTATCAAAGCCTATGTTGTTGCCGACGTTGAAAGTGGTGTTGGGAAAAAATATCAAATAAAATTATATATAGCATGTAAAATAAATTTAAAATAAAATAATACGAAAGTCTGGTCTGATCGAGAGCAGTCGTGTAAACACTGCACCGGAAGATTGAGGACCCGTCTATTGCTATGGCGCAGATGATCTTCTCTCCCCTATAGGTAAAACCCCCCGGAAACGACCGACCTCTGTACTCGGGCGAGAGAACAGAGCTTCAGCTTATACGAAGAACGGTTGCCCGAAAATAACACCAACATATGAACGAAAATAGTATGCAGAGAAGAGAAGAGGAAGAAGAGAGAATTGTTTCTATATATTTCCGAATGTGAATAACGGGTGTATATATAGGGTTGAGAAAGCCATTATAATCCCTACAATTAATACGGTAACGTTCGTCATAAATTTTCGTAATGTTCCCCATAATATATAACCGTTACGCACGTTTTAATTGTATTCATAACACTATTCCATGTGGGACTATTCATGAAGGCAAAATTATATTTTCTCCAACAAAACATCCAATAGTCCCCCACCCCCAAAGGCAATATTTACTGAAAACTCAAAATCAATAAACAAAACAACAAATCACAAAACAAATTTAGGTTGGGCAACCTTTTGTATCGTGAATTCGGGAGAGGTAGCTTTCGGCTTTGAACATTTTCTTAGTGAGTTCATCGCCACATGAGGGACATAATGGACTAGGCTTTGAATTAGATCCATTTGATCAGGTATTGATAAAAACACACACAATACGTCTTCATCTATTGAGCAAAGCGGGTTGAGCGTTAAAGGCCACACTCACAATAAATCGACTCATGAGAGTTTCTAGGGGTTAGCCCTACCCCCCACCCCCAACCGCGACCTTCGCGGTTCCTCTCACGTAGGTAAGTCCTCTATGGGTGCTACATCTGTGAAAACGGTGAAGGAATTATGAAAAACGTGAAGAATAACCCAAAACAGACTCCACCACACCCTGGTGTGGTGTCTGCCATGGGTGTGGTAGAATCTGTCCTGCACCACTTGAGAGATTGAGAGATTTGTTGGTGAGATTAGTTGGTTCGTTTGAGCGATTTGTAATCTCAATTTGTACTCTCCTTCTCTATTAGTGAAAACCCACCCCCTTCTTGCCCCGTGGACGTAGGCAATTTGCCGAACCACGTAAAACCTTGGTGTTTGTGTTTTGTTTGGTCTTTCTCTCGGCGTTCGTTGGTTTGGTTTCTCAAAGCATCAGTCACAACAAGTGGTATCAGAGCACGGGCAACGCTTGGGCTATTTGGAGGAGTAGATCGCTTTGGAAGTTCATCTAGGGCTTCGTTTGGTGATAAAGGTGGGATCTTTTTTTGTAAAAATCTCGTCTTTTTCAGTTTGGATCTATTTCTCGTTTGTTTCCGCATTGGTTTGGTGGTGCCTTGAGGATTATGGCCGAGAAAGAAGGAGTTGTGGGCAGTACTTCCGGCGTGAAGACCGTCCAAAGCTTGAATATCCACTCAATGAAGATTGATGTGGAAAAGTTCAATGGCACAAACAATTTTGGACTTTGGCGATGCGAAGTCATGGATGCGCTCAACGCGCAAAATTTGGAAGATACGTTGGAGTTGGACGGGAAACCGGACAACATTGATGAGAAGGTTTGGAAAAAGATGAATCGAACGGCGTGTGGTGTGATTAGGTCTTGTCTCACTCAAGATCTAAAGTATGATGTGATCAATGAGACTTCTGCAAAGAAGATTTGGGAGATCCTTGAGAGCAAGTATTTGACCAAGAGTGTGGAGAATCGCTTGCATTTGAAGAGGAGGCTTTACCGCTTCCAGTTGAAGAAAGGAACCTCCATTGGTGATCACATGAACCACTACACGAAGCTTCTTACGGATTTGACGAATATAGATGTGGTGATTGAAGATGAGGACAAGGCGTTATTGTTGTTGAGTTCCTTGCCTGACGAGGAATATGAAACCTTCGTTCTTACTCTTATTAATGGGAAGGCATCTCTTTCGTATAGTGAGGTCACCGCTGCACTTGTGAATTATCAGCTTCGAAAGAAGGATAAGGAGACTTCGATTGAGCCGGTAGCAGGGGCGTTGGTCGCAAGAGCAAAGGGTCCAAACCGTAGTGGGAGGTCACAGTCTAGAGGGGCACATCTCGGAGTTCGTAAGAATCAATGTGCCTTTTGCAAAGAAGATGGACATTGGAAAGCCGATTGCCCAAAGTTAGTTGATCGAGCCGGGAAGAATAAGGGAAAAGCTATTCAAGCTTCAGAGGCGAATGTTGTCAAGGCTAGTGGCAACGATTCAGATTCGAATTCTTCGGGCTACTCATTATCTGCACTGCCGTCAGTTTGTGTTGTCTACTCTACAGAGTGGATGTTAGATTCGGGGGCTACATACCATATTTGCCCTAGGAGGGATGTTTACGTTAAAAGTTGGTTTTGTTATGGAATTCATTATATCTTCGGTCGATTATAATAAATTCAAAAGAGATAGTCTTTTTATAAGACTTCTTTTACACAACAAAAGGAAAATTATAACTTTTTAGAAACAAACGCAGGATCGTTGTTTGGATATTGGTTCTCCAGCTTTCAGGAGTTGGAAAGAGGGGATTTCGTGCTCATGGGGAATGATCACAAATGCTCTATTGGTGGTATCGGTACCGTTCGGATCAGGATGAGTGACGGGGTGATTCGGGAGTTGGTTGGAGTGAGGTTCGTTCCTCAGTTGAAGAAGAACATCATTTCACTTGGAGCTTTGGAGGCAGCAGGCTATAGGGTGACCTTGGCGGATGCACGCTTGAAGGTTACATTTGGGTCCATGATTGTGATAAAGGGCGTCAGAAGGAGCAATTTATACTATTTGCTTGATTAGGTCTTGTCTCACTCAAGATCTAAAGTATGATGTGATCAATGAGACTTCTGCAAAGAAGATTTGGGAGATCCTTGAGAGCAAGTATTTGACCAAGAGTGTGGAGAATCGCTTGCATTTGAAGAGGAGGCTTTACCGCTTCCAGTTGAAGAAAGGAACCTCCATTGGTGATCACATGAACCACTACACGAAGCTTCTTGCGGATTTGGCGAATGTGGATGTTAAGATTGAAGATGAGGACAAGGCGTTGTTGCTATTGAGTTCCTTGCCTGACGAGGAATATGAGACCTTCGTTCTTACTCTTATTAATGGGAAGGCATCTCTTTCGTATAGTGAGGTCACCGCTGCACTTGTGAATTATCAGCTTCGAAAGAAGGATAAGGAGACTTCGTTTGAGCCGGTAGCGGGGGCGTTGGTCGCAAGAGCAAAGGGTCCAAACCGTAGTGGGAGGTCGCAGTCTAGAGGGGCACATCTTGGAGTTCGTAAGAATCAATGTGCCTTTTGCAAAGAAGATGGACATTGGAAAGCCGATTGCCCAAAGTTAGTTGATCGAGCCGGGAAGAATAAGGGAAAAGCTATTCAAGCTTCAGAGGCGAATGTTGTCAAGGCTAGTGGCAACGATTCAGATTCGGATTCTTCGGGCTACTCGTTATCTGCACTGCCGTCAGTTTGTGTTGCCTACTCTACAGAGTGGATATTGGATTCGGGTGCTACATACCACATTTGCCCTAGGAGGGATTGGTTCTCCAGCTTTCAGGAGTTGGAAAGAGGGGATTTCGTGCTCATGGGGAATGATCACAAATGCTCTATTGGTGGTATTGGTACTGTTCGGATCAGGATGAGTGACGGGGTGATTCGGGAGTTGGTTGGAGTGAGGTTCGTTCCTCAGTTGAAGAAGAACATCATTTCACTTGGAGCTTTGGAGGTAGCAGGCTATAGGGTGACCTTGGCGGATGCACGCTTGAAGGTTACATTTGGGTCCATGATTGTGATGAAGGGCGTCAGAAGAAGAAATTTGTATTATTTGCACGGAAGCACGGTGATTGATAGGGAAATGACGACTTCATCAGATTCGGCTAGACTGTGGCATTGTTTGGTGCTGGGGTATATGATTGGTAATGCCGTGCATTGGTTGTTGAGGAGTGCTATGACCTGCAGATTGAAGTCCTGTGAGCATATTGAGATGAGCAAGACCGTGGTGGAGTTTGGCATTCCTATCCATCGAGCGAGGGGTCTTTTAGGAGGTGTTCAGTCAGGCATTTGGGGGCCTCCCAAGGAGGCATCATTGGGAGGTAATCGTATCTTAGTTTACGCAGTTGAAGATTGTTCTAGGCATTATTGGGTCGCGACCAGTTCCCGTTGGTGTAAAGTCCTAGAAGTCAACAACAATTGGAAGAAGTATATTGGCAGAAATGTAACTCGTTGTTCTAGATTTGATAAGGGTCCTTTCTTGCGTTTGTGCCGAGCTCACGGCAATAGGAGACACATCATTGGTGTGGAGACTTTGGGGCGACGAGATGAGATGACAGTTTCGATGAGTCGTTCCTTTCTGGAGGAGGATCGGCGTTGGTTGTCGAGCATTGGTTCTGGAGCTTCGGTCCAAAGCTTGAATATCCACTCAATGAAGATTGATGTGGAAAAGTTCAATGGCACAAACAATTTTGGACTTTGGCGATGCGAAGTCATGGATGCGCTCAACGCGCAAAATTTGGAAGATACGTTGGAGTTGGACGGGAAACCGGACAACATTGATGAGAAGGTTTGGAAAAAGATGAATCGAACGGCGTGTGGTGTGATTAGGTCTTGTCTCACTCAAGATCTAAAGTATGATGTGATCAATGAGACTTCTGCAAAGAAGATTTGGGAGATCCTTGAGAGCAAGTATTTGACCAAGAGTGTGGAGAATCGCTTGCATTTGAAGAGGAGGCTTTACCGCTTCCAGTTGAAGAAAGGAACCTCCATTGGTGATCACATGAACCACTACACGAAGCTTCTTGCGGATTTGGCGAATGTGGATGTTAAGATTGAAGATGAGGACAAGGCGTTGTTGCTATTGAGTTCCTTGCCTGACGAGGAATATGAGACCTTCGTTCTTACTCTTATTAATGGGAAGGCATCTCTTTCGTATAGTGAGGTCACCGCTGCACTTGTGAATTATCAGCTTCGAAAGAAGGATAAGGAGACTTCGTTTGAGCCGGTAGCGGGGGCGTTGGTCGCAAGAGCAAAGGGTCCAAACCGTAGTGGGAGGTCGCAGTCTAGAGGGGCACATCTTGGAGTTC